ACTGTTGCAGGTGCTGGGAACACGGTGGTAAATCAGACCGTTAGAGCACAGAGTAGGGCAGGTGTCCCCATTGGACAGGTGGGGATGGGGTGGAGGAAGCCTTCTGTGTACCGAGGTCTGAAGTCTGAACATCTCAATGGGGCTTACTAGGCAAGAGTGGGGAGGCGGGCGTTCCAGGGAGCGGGCTTTGCCAGGGCCCTGCTGGCGGGGAGGAGGAGGCTGAAATGGTCGGCAGGGAGTCCCCCTGGGGCCTCAGGCCACAGTGAGGATTCATTTTTAAGCAGGTACTCTGCTCATTAAGTGACAGATCATGAGGACTTTATGACTGCTTGGCAGTCCCAGGTCTGAGAGAATATACGGTTTGGAAGGCATTGTTTTACTAATCCGCCTCCCGAGCCACCACCTACTTTTAAGATACAGGATTACATCATCCAACAGAAAATATACAGTCTGTAGCATTCTTCCCCCAGCTGGGGGGGGGAGGCTGCCCTTTTCCCTCTGTTCAGAGTGCTTTCTCTGTGCCTAATACTCCCACAGTTGGGAGCAACGTTTCGCTTTGGCAGAATCCAGCTTCTGGAGGCTGCGTTGCCTTGTCTCAAGTTGGACGCTGGACCTTTGAGTGTGCTCTGTAGGGCTGGTTCCAGGAAGGGTTGATGAAGCATTGTTGGCTGTAAATAAACTTCCATTCTCTCTACCAGAACCTGGTACTTCTCTGCTGAGTAAATCCTCCCAGCTCAAATGGCAGCTTTTCCCGCTTCATGGAGCCATATTGTTTTTACTTCCTTCCTCTGCTCCAGTCATAGTTTCATCGGTGGCTGGACTTTTGTATTCTCTGCAGGGGGAGTCACATTCTAGGTTCTGTAATTCCTGAGAACAAGGCCCCTGCCGTGACTGGCATTCTTACAAGTCTCAGACACAATTGATTAAGAAACCAAAATTGGCAGGTTCGGATCACTGTTCTCTGGGGACGTCCCCCAGCCTGCTGCGCCACCTCATGCCCTGTTTGGTGGGACCTTCGTCTCTGGTGAGGCTGGGAGGCTGGAAGGATGCAGACAGTCAGAAGAGGAGGCCTTGCCTCAGAGTTTGGTTTCTTTGACCAGCTCAGAGCTCTCTTTCTCCCTTTCTTGTCTTCTCACTTGGCTTCTTAGGAAGCTGTGGATTTTGTTTTCTTTTGTATCTTAACTGGACTTGAACTAGAGAGCCTACTAGGTTTTCCTGGCCCTTTCTCCTAGGAGCTGCTAGGTGAGATGCTCTCCTCAGTTGGATGCTTTGTTTTCACCTTCCTAAAGAGCTGGGTGAAAACCCATCTGCCTGCCACGTCTGAGGGGCGTGTGCTCTCACATCCAGGTCTGTCCAGGTCTCCGGGCTGTGGGCATCATGCCTCCTGGCTGACGCAGACAACTGTCTGGTAAACAGATCTCCAGGCTGAGTTCATTACTTTGACCAACTGGGAATAGCCACCTGGAAGCCAGAGGGATGGGTTCATACAAGTCAAGACAGCTGTCCCCTTTGCATTCCAAAACACTGCTTTGCGGGAAGAAAAGGAACAGTGGGTTCTTGCTGCTTTTTACTTGTGTCCTTCTAACTGCTCTCTTCCTGCTTCTTGAAGGGCACAGCAAGAATCTCTCCCTATTGCAGGTTTTGTAAAACCGGTTTCTTGAACTACTGGCAGTTTAGTAATGTGAACCTTCTTTCTATCTCCTTAGCTCCATCATTTTAAATACTTCTTCGGATGTTTTTTCTGACATTGTGGCTGGCTTCCAAGATAACTATCATGGGTGCTCAGTTAATTTTTGTACTGAATTCCTGGTATCTGAGGCATAACTCGTAGGAGGATGTCTCTCTAGGTATTCATCTTGAGTGTGGGCCTCCTCCCCCAGTCCTGTCTTCCTCTGAGGCTGCTGTCATTGGATGAGACTTGCCTCAGTGGGCAGTTGAGTGTCAATGGTTCTAAAAAGCGTCTTTAGGGTATTTGACACCCCTCCTGAGTGGTCTCTCCAGACACCCTGCTCCCCTCCCTAGCACAGCTTTCTTCAGCAGTGCTTGAAGTCCTGGACCCAGCTCCATTTGAAGACGTGATGCTGTGGCTCCAGGCCCTTCATTGTGGGGTATAATCAAGCTCTCCTCCGTGCTCAGGCAGGGTGTAGGGTTAAGCTGCTTTAGGATCCCAAGGAACTTGGTTGTTGGCTTTCTTCTTCGGGGTCACTTTGATACAGTGACACATGCCCAGGAGCTTAGCTCAGCTCACAGCCCAGCCTGTTCGTGTCAGAGGGCAGAAGAATTACATTCTAAAACATAACAAGGTGTGGCCACCAGGAGGCACAGATTCCCATTGTTTGATTCTCCAGGGCCTTGGAAGTCCCACGGGTGCCTGTGACACAAATGGGGAATCTGAGCAAGCACAGATTCCAAAGTCTTTCCAGGAAACCTTTATGCAGAATTGTATGGCTTCCAGTTTGTGGAGGCTCATTTATGCATTTGGCATATAGGATTCTCTTAAGGCAGGAGAATCTTCTCGCGCTTGGAGTTGGGTCCACATTCCCTTGGTTGGCACTTTGCTCGGAGGAACCGTGGAGCTGGATTCCACTGCTCCACTGAAGTTGGGGTGGGACTTGTTCCTGGGGATGTTGGGTTTGGGATTGAGTAAGAGTCCGTGGCTCCACGGATCTCAGGGTGCACACTGGGCACGCCCCACCATTTTGTGTGTGTGTGTGTGTGTGTGTGTGTGTGTGTTTGCACGCATGTGCACATGGCATGAAGATGGGAAAGCAAAGAGTATACTTGTGGGCAAGTTGAAACCAACTACCAAGTTTATCTTTTTTTTTTTGTGATCTGTGTAGAAAGATTAATTGTGGTGGAATGAGAAGCCAAGTCAAAAAGGGAAGGACTAAAAGATGGGGGAAAGAAAACTTCCTGTTTGTGATTTTGCCCCATCATCTGTTTTCTCCCAGAGACATGACTGAACAACCTCAGCCAAGCCAGACAAGGACCTTGTGAAATGCAGGAATCCCCAGCCCTCCCCTACCCCCACCCACCCCCATTGCCGGGGTCACAAAAGCTGCCAGAAGCTCCAGGGAGGCTCATGGCCATTTACGTACCCTGGGAGCCCCTGGGTAAACAAGTATTTCCCCCTTTGAAGAGACCTTGCACGTTCCGTGACTAACTTCCTGTGCCTCTGGAATAGACACGGAGAATTCCAACATGGATATCTTGCCTCCTTCCTCAGCTCTGCATTTCAGGGAAAGAGCCCCCAGGGGGCCTTTGAACAGTAAACGGTCAGTCCTCCTCGTGGCCAGCCAACTGGCCAGGGAGGGGAGGGAGGATGTACCCACTGACATTTTCCCACCATTAGCACCCGGAAAGCTGTCCCCTGGAGGGAAATTTAGGGATCTTTCACAGTCCCACATTTTGTTACTGCCACACTTTTTCATATTGGTTCCTCCAGAGTCACTGCTACAAAGGGATTGTTGTGAGGTCCCTGGAGACTGGCACTCTCTATAGAGTAGCTGATTGATGACCAACCTGAATTTGGCGTGGCAATCCTCCAGACGCGCCTCCTCTTTGCCCACCTGATTGGCAGGGGCGGGTGGCTAGAGGAGATGGGTTGCTAAGCAGCCTGACCTGGACGTTATGCCTGTCCAGGTCGAATGAATAGCCGCAGTGTTCAGACGAATGAGGGGGTTTGGGCCTGTCCCAGAATCAGGAGGGACTTTTTGGGGAAGGGGGCTAAGAACTAGCCCCCTGGTCTTAGCATGGAGCCATAGTGTGGGAGAGGGTTTGGTGGCTTTCCAGCACTTTCCTTTCTGAGACATTATCTTGTAACATTTCCTTGTGTAAGTAGAGTGCACAGAGCTCTGTAGCTGTTTCCACGTGCCCGTCTTGTTCCGGAGTTATTACTGTCCTGTCTCTTCCCTCACCAACCAAAGGGCAAGGAAATGAGATTCAACAGCTTCCTGTGAGCACAGCTTCTGCCACTTTGATCAGTAGAGTTTAATGGCATTTGAGACCCCTGATCTAACTGTGAGGGGCTGAGTTTCCCCAGAATTGGGGGAAAAAAGTCTCTTCTTGCCATTGTACATTTGAGGTGATGGCGGCGCGGGAAGGCCTGTCTCCCCGCCGTGCCCGGCTTGTGACAGGGCTGGGCCGTGGTCCTCTACAGGTTGACTTGGTCTAGGTGAAGCATCTACTTTGGGCCGCGGAATACAGAGCAAGTCCAGAAAAGCGTCTGTAAGAAGCCTTTCCTCTTAGGTTTCTGCACGTAGCCAGAGCTGAAGGACGTGTGGACGTGGGTGTTACGGGGCAGTAGTTTGCATTAAGGATCAGAGAAGGCTTTTCTGTGGAGAGAATATAAAGCCAGTGTAAAGAGAGCTAAGAGGTGAGCCAAGGAGAGCCAGAGAGAAGCTGCCTCCGGGCCAGGGCCTTTCTGGGGCTTGGTTCGGTCACTTACTAAAGGCCTGCTACGTGCCTGCTCCAGAGTTCCATCGGCTACCCCCTTCTGATATGATAAAGTCTCCCTTTTTCGCTTAAACTAAAAGCAAGAAAAATCACTTGGGAGCAGACAACCTTTTGTGTTTTCATCTTGAGATTCTCGTGTTATAAAGCAGCCACCTCTTGCTTCCTCAGTCCCAGGCGGGGGTGGCAGAGTTCCCAGGTGGCTGGCCAGGCCCCAGGGGAGAGCGGCGGGCAGGATCCAGGTGTGCAGGTGACGGATGGCTGGCCTTTGCTCTCCTCAGCGTTGCTGGGTGTTGGTCCCTGCTGGAGGCCTTGGAGGAGAGACTGAAGTGGGCGTCTGGAGCATCCTGGCTGCTCTGATGAAGGAAGAAGGGGGGTTAGAGGTTCAGGGGTCCCAGAAGGCCCCCCAAGCAGCGGCTCACTCTAGGGCTCCGTGTGGTGCTTTCACCTTTTCTCTCCCTTAAAAATCCTGAGTGGTCTCAGTGAAGAGAGTAACTATAGTCAGGAGCCCCGGCTCACCTCCTGGTATTTCTGTTTCTCTTTTGCAGGATAATCCAGAAGTAGAAAAGCGAGACCCCCAGGAATTGGTCGGTAAGTACCCCAGGGGGCCTATTTCTGAGCCTTGCCCAGAACAAACTGGCTTCCGGCCATGCAGGCTGCTGGGGCTTCTCCCTGCTTCGGCCAAGGCAGCTGCTCTGCTGTGAGCCTTGTCTCTTCATACTCTCCCAGGGCCTTTGGCATTTCCTAAGATGGCTGGGTAAGACACCCGGGGAACAATTCTCCTTTGAAAAGCATGTTCGTGCTGCGGTTCATTGGGCTCTGGTCAGTTGCCAGTGTTGTCAAGAGGGATTCAGGGCCACCTTCAGCTGAGACCTCGTTCCTCGTGTGCCCTGAGCTCATCCTCTGTCCTTATACCCCTTCCTCCCCTCCCTGCTGGCAAATTCACCTGCTCAAGGAACAAACATGTGGCCTCTGCTGGCACTTTGCTCTGTCCCCAGGAGGGAACATGCCTTATGTAGCCCCTGGAGTCTGGGACCTTTTGTGACTTGGAAGGACAGGGCGGTTATGTTTCTGTAAAACAGCACACATGTCAGCCCAGTCCTGTGTTAGCCCAGCCTCTTAGAAGTCCTTTAGAAAGTCCCTCAGCAACTTCAGGTTGGCCATGGACTTTGTAACAGCTCTCCCAAAGCCTGGCCAAACCTCACGCGGGGTTGACCTTCCCTCTCTGTGGCAACTGTGACTCTCTCCCAGCCTGCCGCATTGATCTTCACAAGCTCGCTTTCTGCTTTGCAGGCAGCCTCAGAGCCTGCCCTTGCGCTTGCGAATGGAGCCCCTGCAGCTCTCTTACTCTGGCCCTGGGGAGCCCAGGACTCAGCCTGGAAATGCAGCTTCCTGCAGCCCCTCCAACCCGTCCTTTTTCTGGACAAGATCCTTTCCCTGGGGATGGGAAGTGGGGACCCATCCTGGATTTCCTAAGTAAAAGAAGTGAAAACTGTGGTATTTGCCATCTGAGGAAGGATTGGGTAGGAACGTGACCGTTCAGCAGCCCAGACCCTCAGCAGGATTCTGCTTATCCCTGAGTTTCCTGATGAATGGAGTGTTCACCTTTCAAATCCTATAAAAACCAGAATTTTCCCAAAACCTTAGCATTTGCTCTTTAGAAAATGGTGCTGTAAGAGCACACCTGTTGGCTTTGTGGGTGGAGGAAGCAGAGCACGCCCTTGCCAGGAAGCCTGTGGCCGCCTCTGAGTAGGCGATCCATGGGCCAGGTGTGGACTCAAGCCTTGGCGCCCCCCCTGCTCCACCACTCCCATCTCTGCTGTTCATTACCAAGAAACTGGGGGTGGGGGTGGGGTCAGAGAGCAGCCTAGGAGCCGCATGCAGCAGTGCCCTCCACTCTTAGAGCACTGCTCAGCAGCGGGGCATGTGTGTGTGTGGGCGTCAGCCTTTGCAGTCTGGACTTCCGCAACCAGCTTTTACCTTTTCTCTCTTCACCACTTTTGAAAACAGCTTTATTGAGGTATAACTTACATAGGGTAAGACTTGCCAATTTTAAGTCTGCCATCTGATGAGTTTTGACAGATATATATAATCGTGTTAACCCCCACCACAGTCATGATACAGAACATTTCCATCGCTCCAAATTGTTCTTTGTACCCCTCCCCTTGCAGACAGTGTCCTCCTTCAGCCTCAGGCAAGCAGTGATCTACTTTCTTCACTATAGTTTTACCTTTTTTAGAGTTTCATGTAAATCAGGATTTCTCAACCTTGGCACTATTGACATTTTGGGCTGGATAATTCTTTGTTGTGGCGGTCTGGCCTGTGCGTTGTACAGTGTTTTTAGCAGCATCCTTGGTCTCTGCTCACCAGATGCCAATAGTGTTCTCCCCCGCCCACGCCCCCACCCCCCCGGACTGCCACATTTGATGAGGAAAAATGTTTCTAGACATTGCCAGTGTCCCTTTGGCGGGGGCGCAAAATTGACCCCAGTTGAGAACCACTGATACAAATGGAATCATAGTCTTTTGTTGTTGTTGTTTTGGTCTGGCTTCTTTCGTTTACAGTGATATTTTTGAGATCCATCCACGGTGTTACGCATATCCACAGTTTCTTCTTTTGATTGCTAAGTGTTATTTCACTGTAGGATCACACTGCAGTTTCTTTCTCCATTCCCCCATGGAGGACACAGGTAGATCTCTAAGCCGCAGTCTTCATGACTCTTACCATTTCTCACTGAGGAGGTAGTAGTTTAGCTGTACAGAGTGGCTTCCACTCACGGGGCTGTGGTTGTCAGCCCCTCTGCCTAAACTCGGCTCCTTTTGTTAATCTCTCTGGATGTGGCACTCTCAGGTTGCTCCCCTGGTGTGGGAGGCATTTTCATATGTGTAGACAGCCCCAGGCTTAATGGAGCAAAAGAAAGCAGAGAGCTGACTCAGAGATCTCTGCAGTGCTGTAGCTGCTTGACGGAGCTGAGCCTACACTCCTTGTCCGTCCCCTCCGGGTGCCCCACCAAAGCCCCACAGATGTGCTTGGAACTGTGGCTCTGGGTGGTAATCCAGTTGGGTTGTCCACGTCTCTAGTGAGCTAGAGACACTCCACTGCCTCCTGCTTACAACTCCACAGTACCCCCCGGCATTCCTTCACTCCCCCCATTACAAAGCCCAGCTGACTAGCTGTTGCGGCTCAGATTCGTGCCTGGCAGCTATGGATACCATCGGTTTTCTGACTCGGGCGTGCACAAGGGGTGAGTCACCCAACAGCAGGTTTCTCAGATCCTGAGTGTGGCTGCCCTCCTAGAACGCTCTCAGCAGGCCCAGGAGCAGCCACAGACACAGGCTGCCCCCAAGTGCCTAGACACACTTCTCGATGTATTTCCTGGGAAAATGGTTTGAGGCTCTGTGGCTGCTCAAATAGATCGCAGTCTTCTTTAGAGTCGTCCTGGGACTTAGGAAAGAGAGAACCACTGAAAGATTGCTCACGAAGTCTGTGAGATACACTGTTCTCTCATTTCCTGAATGTGTCCCTTCATTTGCCAGTTGCTTCTTAGGAATTCTCTTGTTCCTAGCCTGGGAGCTCAGGAGGGGCTCTCCCTCCCCCTGTCGTATTATATACCATTTGAGCCCCAGTGTGGTTGGGTTGCTATGGCAACAGTGTCACACCCTGTTTTTCCAAAAGGCTTTCCTGGCAAACGCCAAAGGGCATTCTTTGTCTCTCTGTCACGTGCACACATACACTCTCCACCCCAGGGAAGAGCTTAACCCTCCTTGCTGTGTACCCAAAGCTTACCCAGGCCCTCTTCCTTTTGTTGCTGATGCTCATAAAATACGAGGACCATCTCATCCCAGCTAATTCCACTCTCAGCTGGCCTCTGTAGCCTGCTTGAGCCTTGGGCTTAGAACTCCTGCCACTCCCAGAGCTAAGAGGAAGGAGGAAGTCAGGACGAGACTTGAACTCCAGCCAGATCTGGGTGTCACTCTTGCCTCAGGAGTCAGGAGACAGAAGGTGCTGGAAAAAGAGAAGCATGTAGCCCAGGGTGGAAACTGCCCCTGGGCTGCACTGGGGTCTCAGGTCCACAGCAGGGTATGTCACGAGTCTTGGTCCTCTTGCCCTCACCCAAAATGGCAGGTCTAGTGCTCTGTTCTTGGGGTGTGTCCAGTGAAAATCCACTGACGACAGTGAGAATTGGCACATGGAGCCCTGTTATGAGACTGCTGCAGGCTTGGGCCCCAGCCTCAGTGTTTGCAGTCTGTGCGGGCTCGTATGGCAGCAGCTGAGACTGGCGAAGCCCGGAGCTGTATCCTCAGCCCTGCTCAGCGCTGAGTTCTGTACAGTAACAGTGAAGCTCTTAAGAGGAGATCAAAGCACCTTATGTGCTAAGGAAATAATTAACCCAGCCTTGGGAGTGGAGAAGGGGAGGGCAGTGCTAGGCCATCCCCAGGCAGGGCAGCCACTCTGGGCTAAGCCATAGTCTCACCCGGGGCCTGGCACACAGTGGGCACCCAGCAAGTACTTGCTGGGTGTTATTAGTGCTGGTTTCTTCATTCTTCCCCTTCATCCTGCCCCACCCCACTCCGCCTGCTATTTGCTCATTGTATGGTCCTTTTCATGAGAGAATGTTTTAAAGAGCACAGACAGAATCTTGCAACAAACGGTGCATTGTCTGAGTGATCCAGAGCGACTCTGCAGTCGCCAGGGTGGCCCAAGACTGCTGGGAAGGGAGTGGAGAAAGAGAGAGAGAACTTGGGTGGGCAGATCTCCGAGGGAGTTGTGGTTCTTCACATCAGAATCAGGCCTTTTGTTCCCAAGAGTGAGATGGACCCAGGAGGGTTGATTGGTTTATTTTTTAAAAACTCTAAGCTAATAACTAGCAGGTTATTTTTCAAATGTCATTTACAGTATGCACATGGCAGTTTTGAAGGCTTTGAGTCTGAAAGCCTAGGGACCCCTGAACCTGGCTTCTCTCCTTTCGGTTGAATAGCGTGAGGCAAGAAGGATGGCAGTGAGCAACTCTGAGTCTCCAGAATCCTGGAGGGTGTTTTAGGGACACAGCCAGTGGGGGACTGGAGCTGCTCGCACTGTGAGCCAGCGGTGCGCGTCTCTTCCCAGCCCTGGCTGCAGCACCTTCACGTTGGTAGCTTGAAATTGGCCATCACAGGAATTTGCACCACCGAAGCTGGCAGATGCTGCAGATCGTGGCTCTTCCCCACCCCACCTCCGACTGCCAGCTGTTTACTAAACAGTTCCCGGCACGCCCCTGGACATCCCCTTTCTTAAGAGTTAACTGTTGTGACGTGGTAGCACGCATTCATTACGCTTGTACCCTCTGCCTGAACTTTTCACTCCAGTTGACACATGCTGACTCCTTCTGGTCATTTGATCTCCACTCAAATAACACCCTCTCGGAGATGCCGCTCTGAACACCCTGTTTTACTCTTTCATAGCATTTACCCTCCCTCCCTGAAAACATTGTGTGTGCTTTCTTTTTTTTTTTCTTTTAATGATTTTCTTTGTCTCCCATTCTTTTTTTTCTTCTTCTTCTTCTTTTTTTTTTTTTTTTGCTGAGGAGGATTCACCCTGAGCTAACATTTGTTGCCAATCTTCCTCTATTTGGTATATGTGCTGCTTTCATAGCGTGGCCACTGATAGACAAGTGGTATAGTTCCGGGCCGCCAAAGCAGAGCACGCCACACTTACCACTAGGCCACCGGGACTGGCCCGGTCTCCCATTCTAACACCCTGCGCGCACGCACACACACAGAATTTTTCTTTCTGTTCTCTCAACAGCCTCCTTTTCTGAAAGAGTCCGGAACATGTCGCCTGATGAAATCAAGATTCCGCCTGAACCCCCTGGCAGATGTTCAAATCACCTACAAGTAAGCACAGAGCTCAGCTGCTGAGGCACATGTAGATGAGGCGGCCTGGGTCAGGTGTCTGGTTTGGTCTGACTTTAAGAGGCTTCCGTGAAAGAAACAGCCCAGGTGGGAAGGAGCCTGCAGCCCTGGTTACCTCCCTTAGCTCACTCTCAGGAGTCGAGTCTGTACTTACTGCGCCCTCTGCCACACCACCTGTTGCTGCTGTAGCTAGGACCTGCTAGATTGCCATCAGTCAGGCCCTAAGCCTAGCCAGAGAAAATAACATACCTTTTCTTGCAACCCAGCTGAGCCAATCGGAACATTTCAGAAGGAACTTTGCTTAGAAACTGAGGGACCATCAGACTGTAAGATAAACAAATTATGGAAATGTAAAAACACAGGCATTTATATGCATAAAATTCCTATCCTCCTATTCCTAGAATGCCAGTTAACCAGCTTCGTTTCTTGCCTGACAAAACTCATACAGACCTGACCTGAGGTTTTCAAATCCCAAGGAGATTTGCATTTAGTGCAGTTACTCCCTTGGGAGCAGAACCTTGAGGGACAGCTGTGGTTTGCGCCTCCTTTTCAATCTCGGTGATTGTTTCTCCTTGTCCCTCTGGGTTTCCCTGTGAGTGGGACCTTGTGACAAACAATAGGGCAGACACCAAAGGCTGCCCACTAGTGGTACCCAGTCCACCTGCTCTACGTTTGATCCTGTAGCTTTCACTGGTGCCTCTGGCTACACCGCAAGTCCCTGGCACCACCCTAACGGATGGATGACTAATGGGACCTGGGGCTGCGGAATGCAGCGGGCTGGGGTGGGGCCGGAGTCGGGACTAGGGGCACAGCGCATCTTTCCGGGAAGTCTCCCTTTGCTGAGTCGTCTACCCCCACCAACTCCCAGCATAGCGTCACCTCCACCCCAAGCAACAAGCCACAGCTTGTAAGGACAGTCCAGCAATCTACCAGGTAGACGCAACCAGCTGGCTCGGCCTTCAAGTTCAGATTTCTCCTTTTTAGATCCTCCTAACAGTAGAAACGATGACACTGAGGAAACATTTTAGTTCCCCTGAGGTGGGAGAACCCATCTGATAGCCTGGGAGACACAGAAAAGTCATCTGTAAGACGTAGGTCCGCCTCGATTGGCGGAGCCTTCCGTGCAAGGCCTCCCTCTCTTACCCTTGGAGAGGTAATGTTGAGGTCTGTCACTTTTGGCTTCTCTCCTCCCTGGTAAGTGTATTACAAACCCCTCTATGCAACTCAGTGCTTCCTCTGGCCGGTCTCAGCAGAAAGATTCGGCCTTCTGACAGAAGGAGTGGATCACCTCTCCTGATGTTCCCAAAGGGCGTCACACGGGACCTCCCACCCTGCCCACCTCCTCTTGCGGGTGAAGAGTGCCCCAAATGTTTTCCTTCTGGAGAGTGTATGTTTATCTAGTGGGGGAGGCTGCAAAGAGACCTTGACCTGGGCTGGCACAGCCCTCCTGGGTAAGACGGCTCCTCCTCCAAGGTGGCCCTGCTCTGAGACTCAGGTTTCTGGGGCCTCCTGACGCACTGGGTGGTGCTGATGCCATCTGTTGCAGGCATCGTCTTCATGGGCCTTGGGACACCTGTGGCACTGTCCTGGATCCCTGCCAGGTGGTTCTCCTGTTTCCCATCGAAAGCCAGAGCAGGGGCCTGGCATGGGGTGGGGGGTGGGTGTTTGACCCCTGATGGTGCGTCTTGACAGTGGTGGAGCCCAACCATCTGTGAGCCTCCCGACAAAGGACACTCAAGAAAGTTTATGAGACCAAATCCAAAACCTCTGCTCCTGCCTTCCTCCAAGGACGTAGCCTTTGCAGACCTCCCGCTGAGGACTTAACCCCACATTCAAATTGAGAAGCAGTGTTCATTCAGCCCCTGCCTATCAACTCTAATGCCTGAAACTCCTTTTCGGATGATTCAGGAGCTGATTAACCAGCTGGGGATTCGTTCTTTGTCTTCTCCGTGGTTTCTCTGCCTAGACCTTTTTACTACTCTACTAGCCATCCAGAGGCAGTCAAGAGAAAGCAAAACGAAAACACACTAGTCTCAGTTTATCTTACTTGTGCTTGGCACTGGTCAAAGGCTAGGTAGAGGAAGATACTATGGCTGGGGCAGGGCTGCACGTGGCTCTGCGAATCTCCTGTGTCCGTGTGTCCACACAGCAGACATGACCACAGACTGGGGTTGTGAGGGGGTGGGGTGGGGTCACAAGGGCTCTTCTGTTTCTCTTCCATAGGACAAGATCCAGAAGCTTTATGAGCGGAAGATAAAGGAGGGAATGGATATGAACTATATTATCCAAAGGAAGAAAGAGTTTCGGAACCCCAGGTGAGTTTCCTGTGAGCCAGCAGGGTCAGTTGAGTCATTGATGTTGGACTAGGGACCAGGATGCCCCCATGTAAGTGGCAGAGAGAGGCCCAGCTAAGATTCCACCTGAGCCCAAAGGAACCATCACCCAGACTGCGTTAACCTAGCCAGAGGTTTACCGTTTAAGATCCAGGCAGAACACATAAACCAGTATGTAGGGTGCAAGCCGAGAGACCTGGACTGGAATGGGGGAGGCCTGGCTGGGTTCTTGTCCCTACTCTGCTCCTAAAGTATGTGCCCTCACAAGCCCTCAGTTTCCTCGTCTATACAATGAGAGGATTGGACTAGACAATTACTGTGAGTTCTTCCATCTCTAAAAAGTTGATTCTGCATACAGGTGAGAGGTTTTAGGAACCGAGCTATGTCTGGGTCTTACTCTATCCAGTGCCTAAGCAAGTAACACATCTAGGAGAGAGTCTGGTGTGGTGACATCAGGGACCTGCCCTGGCCCTTGCATGGGCCTGAACCACTAGCCCCAAGCCACCCATGCAAACCGAAGGTCAGACGTCCCAGTAAGACCAATAAAACGCAGCCCTCACCTCACTATCATACTTGTCTTGGCCCGTGGCTAAGAGTCTCTCTCTCTGGGAGGGTAGAGGGCCAGAACTGACTTTTAATGTCAGGCCAGTAGACATTTCCCCTCCCATCAGGAAGCTTGCTTCAAACAATTCAGCTGGGTTTGAAGGTTTCGTCTGAACCCAGGAGCGGGATGGTTCTGATCTCTTGAAATCCGGTGCCACTTAGGGCCGTGGGATGAGAGCCTGCTCAGTGCCTTGGGGTATTCTTCTTTCAGCATCTATGAGAAGCTGATCCAGTTCTGTGCAATTGATGAGCTCGGCACAAACTACCCAAAGGTATGTCCCGCGTGCAGAGGTGAGGGGTGAGGGAGGATATCGAGGGCCCTGTGCTGGCTCCGCCGGCTTCAGCCTCGAGCCGTGGAAAGGTCTGTGGAGCAGCACTGGTGGTCCCCATCTCTCTTGTTTGCCCTCTGTTGCTCTGAAGTGGTCCAGTAAAGAGATTACAGCACCAGACCTTGCCCCTGGGCCCCTGATCAGTTAGGGACTGAGTGGGGACTTGTGCTGCTGTAGAACAGCCCGTGGACGAACACGTCACTGCTGGCATATTCCTAAGAACAAACTGGCCACCCCCTTGGCTGGAGACCAAGGGTAACAGCTGAGCCCCTGTGCCCATGAAGGCACAGGGATCCATGGAAAAACTCAGGGATAAGGGACTTGGGTTTCTAAGTCATTTGTCATCCAATGGCCCTTACTGACTGCAGGCTTAACCTTTTCTTTTTCAGGATATGTTTGACCCCCATGGCTGGTCCGAGGACTCCTACTATGAGGCATTAGGTAGATAGCCATCCATCCATCTGTCCATCCACTTCATCCATCCATCTTTCCATCTGTCCATCCTTCTCACCTCCCATCCAGCTATCTATCCATCTGTCTGACCATCCAGTCAGTCAGTCATCAGGCAACACATATTTCAAGGTCTCCTCTGTGTCAGCCACGTCTCAGGAGCTGGGTGTACAGTCTTGAACGAGACAAACTCCACCTCTAACTTATGAGGCTTATGATCCAGCAAAGAAGGCAGAGGACTGAAGGAGTAATTCCAGCAGTGATGAGTGCTGTGATGATGGGGGTGCAAGCAAGGCCACCTAACCAGGCCGAGGGGATGGGACAGCCTCGCTGAGGACACTGTGTTCGAGCTGAGGTTTGAAGATATAGAGGCTAGCCAAGCAGGTGTAAACAGAGTCCTAGGCAGGGGGGTGGCATGTTCTGAGGTCAGCGAGAGTCCAGCATTTTTTCAAGGGGCCCATTAGGGTGAACTGGGACGAATTTCAAAGTGGCTAAGCCCTGAAAGGACAGGTCTCAAACCAGCAGCCCACAGACCAGATCTGTCCTGGAGATGTTTTGTTTAGCCCACACAAGTTTTGTCTTGCTTTAATTTGAATTGAATGCCAACATTTTACCTAAAAATCTGTAATTCCAGCTTCTCTTGGTCAGTGGGAAGGTATTCCACGCTGGGCCTGCATTCCCACATGGCAACAGTCAGCTGGAGCTCACAGCAGCTGACCCCTCCAGACAGGGGATGCACAGCCCCCACCCCGGACCTGCTTTATGCTGGCCGAGGGCTGGCACTTCATTTCACCCATTTTGAAAGGACGCTGAGCCCATCCACGCCTGGGGGCCACTGTAGTGCGTTGAACAAGAACTCAGGGGAAGCAGGCGAGTGCTGGACTAGGGTCCCGCAGCCTAAAGTGTCGCCTCGTGTGGGAGCTGTTCCAGGGCTGCTTTTGTAAGAGCTTCTCTTGTCTTTGTAGCCAAAGCCCAGAAGATTGAAATGGACAAACTGGAAAAGGCCAAAAAGGAGCGAACCAAAGTAAGTGATGGACAGATGTCCTAGATGAAAAGGGCAGGTGTTTGGAGTGCTTGGGTCCTGCTGGCTAAGCCCAGAGGGCTTCCAGACTGTTCTCCCTCACCTGCCCTCCCCCTCCGCACCCCTCGGGTTCATTGCCTGGTGATGCTCTGAGCATTGCCTTAGACGTGCCTTGTGGACTAACAGGCCTTGCTGGATTCCCAGCCTCTGTAACTTAGCTTGGAGACACTTCCTGGTTGCTTCCATTTGGTTTCTTGGGGCCTGGTAGTTGCTGCATTATACCCTCCCTCCCCTGCCCCTACAGCTGCAGAGCCCTGGTGGCTTTCTCTCTTTGGGGTCATCAGTGTCCTCCCTGGCCTGAATGGAGCTAGTGTTTCCTTCTGAGAGCGCTGTGGTCTGTGCCTTTCTTGGCCTCCAGAGCTGACCTCGGTGGCCTACCTTAGTGCTTCTCTGTAGGTCGCGTGTCTGATGGCCAGGTGACCCCTCTTTTTAGAACCCTGTGCACCACTTCTTCCCAGGCAGTGTGGTCTTGGTCCTTCGAGGAACAGAAATTTTTCTCGGAGACCAAATGACCTCTGGGCGCTGTGCCCTTTATGGCCAGAGTCTCCGAGAGAGAACGCCAAGCCTCAGGATACCAGCTCCTCCCACCTGTGGTTTGACCTGACCCTCCTGCAGCAGCTGTGGCCTCCAGGACGCCCCACTCACCCCCCAGGCAGAGGGGCTGCGGGGCTTGGCAGCCTCCTGGGAGCTGGTGCTAGGGGGTGATAAGGGTTTCTCATTCTTAACCCTTGATTGAATTTCCTTTCTCTCTCTTTCCCTCCCCCTTCCAAACCCCAGGCTTATTGCGGGGACGTGTCTGCAGCGCCTGGGGACCGGAGCTGTCCTTCCCCTGTGCGGGCGGGCACCGCCTCGTCCGGGGTGTGAGGAGGAGGAGGGTCCTGGGCATGTGAGGTGGGGCGGCGGGCAGGGGGCGCCCGGGCGTGTGCAGAAACGTGGTGATGCGGGGAGGGATCCGATGTCTCTTGGGGAAGTTCTCTTCAGAGTAGTGAAAATGCCCTTGAGGCGCCTCTCCGACACCTCTCCCTCCCCCAGACAGTCACAGCAGAGCTCATTCTCAGTGCCGCCTTTGTATGGTGCCAAACTCCTGTCCCCTGGGAGCAGACGGCTGGCCAAAGGATGTGGAGAAACAGTTTGCACAGGTCTTACTTTCTTCTCTCTTCCCCTCCAGATTGAGTTTGTGACGGGCACCAAGAAAGGCACCACAACCAACGCCACAGCCACCACCACCACCACGGCCAGCACAGCTGTTGCAGGTAGAAGGCGGCCTGTCTGCTTCTGCTTCTGGCTACGCCACAGATGGAGAAGGGTCTCCCTGCCTTGTTTTGGGGAACGGACACCCCTGGTCCTGGGGAGCAGGGATCTGGGCCTGAGCCTGGCCTGGCTATGCTTTTTCCTGAGCCCAGAGTTTGGGAGCCAGCTTTGGAGCCTGGTGTAGGGTCCCCTATTTACTGGCTTCCCCTTGGCTTTCTGTGGCTGGGGCCCTGTCAGTTTCTGTTCCCTAAGCTCTGACCACTGGTCTCTTGGAAAAGGGAGTGTTGCTTTTTGATTTGTCTTGGTCCTGACTTTTCTCTTGCCTTATTCCCAGATGCCCAAAAGAGAAAGAGCAAATGGGACTCGGCCATCCCGGTGACAACGATAGCTCAGCCCACCATTCTTACCACCACGGCAACCTTGCCAGCTGTCGTCACAGTGACCACCAGTGCCAGTGGCTCCAAGACCACTGTTATCTCTGCTGTGGGCACCATTGTGAAGAAGGCCAAGCAGTGACCTAAGAGACTGGCTTGGGATGGCTCGGACATTCTCCTTTCCATGGAGGGGAGGAGCCACTCTAAGACTTGACAAGACTGCAGCCCAATGACTGATGCCCACTGGGAGGTGCCACTTTGTGTATTTCAGGACTAGGACCTGCTTTCCAGATGCCACCCTGAAAGGAGCCTCTGTGTGGCCTTCTAGCCAAGAGAAGGACATTGCCACAGAGGAGTGGGGTGCTGTGGACATGTCCACACCCCGCCTGGGATCTGTCGCCCTATTAAAAGCGCCATATTCTTACATCTTGGCATCTCAAATGCTGTGGCCTCTTCTACGGTCCGTTTTCAGGCAAATGTGGAAGCTGAAGTGCCCTCTCCATCTTCTCGTTTGGGATTATTACCTCAGGGTTGATAATGGGGTGGCCAAAGCCTATGGCACTGGTCACAGGGGGTGGCCCAACAAGTTGCCATGGTCACTCCCTGTGTACACCTCTTGGCCTGGGCAGGTGGGAGTCCAGAGAGTGAGTGAGAACCCGGGTTCCCACTGTCTCCTGCCTTGATCCTGGAACCCAGCCAGTTCTCAGACAAGAGCCGAGGCCTCTGCTCCCTTGGAGGCAGTTGAGCCATCCCCAGACCACTTCTTGGACACACTCAGGCTTTTGAAGTCAAGCCAGTTACCAGAAAGGCTGGGGTTGATCCCCAACCCACACAGGGACAGGGAGAGGCATCGGCACCTGGCCAAGGCTGCCACAGGCCTCAGTGCCTGGCGAGCCCGGCCAGCAGGCTCCACACAGTGGGGGAGATGAATCACCTCCTGCCCTGGCTGGGCAGCAGCTTATTGTTGATGGGAAAGCCAGGCTCCTGGGAGGATCCTGCCACCCCACCCTTCCTGTGACTGTTATCTCTGCCCCACAGCAGCCCCTGGGCAGCGCCAGTGGCCACTGGTCTCCTCTTGGGGCCGGAACAGATTTCCCAGCCACCGCTGCCAGCCCTTGAGTCCAGAGGGAACCCATTTGTCTTTCCTGCTCTATGGCTGCTCCGCTCCAGCGGAAGGCTGCGTGTCAGAGAAGGAAGCTGGGCTGTGAAGAGCCGTGTTGCTTTCATGGTGCGGAGGGAGGGTTAGGAAAGTGGTCCTAAAATTGCACCTAATAACTGTTGCATGACCAGAGGAGTATGATAAACCTGTCCCTGCCATCCATCCCTCAAATAAAAATCAAGTCACACTTGTCTCCTCCCCCACACACACTGGGGCGCCGGAGGAGGTCGGGTCTCACCCTCCCCTCCTTTGAGGGGACTTTGAAACCCTGGAGAGAGGAGCTGCTGCCCCCTTAGTTCCAAGAGGGTCTCTGAAGGGGCTTCCTGCCCTGCAGCCTCCAGTACAGGCCCCTTTCTTTAGCGGGAGGGCGCTGCGGAGGTTGTGTGGAAGGAGGTGTGGGATAGCGGGAACAGCAGCAAACGGAGACTCAAGCACCTCTGCTCTGGATCCCAGTTTAAAACTAGTTGTGTTTTAGTTGTGTCTGTCTTGGGCCCTTACCTCTGTAAGCCTTCTCTGTCAAATCACAGTAATAAAGCTGCGTAAGTTGGTTGTGAGGAATCAATGAAATGATTTATGCAAAAGTTTTGTGAACTGTCAAGCACTGTAAATGTTTGTCAGTCAATCCAATTCCTCCTTGATTTAGACCAAGGAGGGAAGCGTACTCTGGAGCTGATAAAACTGGCCAGGGTTGGGGCTGTTTGGCGTCCTGTGGGCCCCCCAGCCCGGCCATGAGTTCTCCAGGTGGAGCAGTAATGACCACTCCGCCTGTGCATTGGGCAGCCCCAGCAGCGGTGCTGTGCCACTTAGAAGCCTGATTGGGTCAAGGTCTTGAATCCCTCTGAACTTTAGTTTACTCTTCTGTAAAATTGGATTAGTGCCTGCCCTGCTTAGTCTCACTGAGGGTGTCACAGGGGCAAATTGTCAGGTTTTTCTGTGGAGACTGGATGTCCTAGGCACCAGGACCAACAGAGGTTTCTGACTCTTTTGTCCCTGCTCACAAAGAGACCTCTGTCCAAACTGAACTCTACTCCCACCCACACGTCCCCTACCTCTCCTCTAGTTCTAATCTTGGGTGAGGACATCATGGTCCTTCCAGGGCCCTTAGGGAATCCTCTGCTGTGCCCCTGTCTGATGGGTCACCTCAGAATCCCCTCCTCCATGGCCATTATAACTGCTTAGTTTGGGTCCTCGTCCCTCTTGTGTCAGATTGCTCCGGCCTTGTCTACATGTCTCAGTGTCCCGCTCCCATCCATCTCAGTCTGGGCAGCTTCTTCCCACAGCCCAGCTCTTGCACACCCCATGATCTCCCACTGTCCATCCACAGGGAAGCCTAGACTTCAGCACCACATGCAAGGCCACCGCATTCTCATCACCCCTCCTGCCTCTGCCCCACCCACGCACCCTATGCTTCAGCTGTTCCCATCGTTTTCACCTTTGCCCTTTACCACCCCGCACCTTGGTACATGTGACACCTTCAAGGTGCAGCTGAGATTTTCATAATCCCTTCGTGACTCCCTTGGGTGCTAATTGCTCCTTTCCAGTGCTTCCACACTCTTGCCCCTCTGGTAACGCCACTGCCTTGCAACCTCTGTCCATGCTTTGGTGAGCCGAGACCACTCCTCTCCTGGTTCTCCTTGTGGGTGGAGACAAAGTAATCAACAGCACTGTGCCCCAAGTGTCTGGCATGAGATAAGGGATAGAGGGATGGAAGAAGGGTGGTCCCTGCCCCCATGGTCACTGCACTGAACGCTCCCAACCCTGCAGGCCCCACACTCACAGCTTGCTGTTGCAGACTGGCCATGTGTTGGCAATTATCAAGGCTCAGTGATGGGAACAGGAGAGTTCATTATCTTCTCTAATTTTGTACATGTTGAAAATCTCTGCAATAAAAAACAATTTTTTAAAGGGCTGTTGAGCCACAAAAAAGAATGAGGAAGATCTCGACGAACAGATTTAGAGTGATCTTCAGGAGAGATAAAATGAAAAGGGCAAGGTGCAGAACAATGAGTCTAGTGTGCTCCCTTTTGTGTAAGAAAGGGCAGAAATACAACACAAAAAATAAGAGGGGCCGGCCCGGTGGTGTAGCAGTTAAGTTCGCGTGCGTTCTGCTTCAGTGGCCGGGGGTTCACCGGTTCACATTCTGGGCATGGACCTATGCACCACTTATCAAGCCATGCTGTGGCAGGCATCCCTACATATAAAGTAGAGGAGATGGGCATGGTGGTTAGCTCAGGGCCAATCTTCCTCAGTAAAAAAGGATTGGCAGTGGATGTTACCTCAGGGCTAATCTTCCTCAAAAAGATAAAAAAAAAAAAAAAAATAAGAGAAGATACAAGAATAAAATCAAAGAAATTAAGAAAAATCTCTAATGTTAAATTTGAATTGGCAATATCAATATGACCTCATGATCCAAAAAAAAGTATGTCCCACCTATGTCCATTGAAAGGACCCAGAAGCAATGGCCCCCAGGAGCACTGAGCACACGTGGCGCCCAGACCTTGATCTCTCATACCATTCCCCGCTAAAAGCAACCTGGGCTCCTTGGAGGAATGGCTGATCCTGAAATCTAAGTGGGACTGGGGCGGTTTGTTCCAGAAAACTGGGAAGACTGAGAGGAGTGTTTCAAAGGTCAAAGGAGCTGGTTTGAAGGGATCTCCCACTGCCCAAATTAAATTTGAACATTCACGAAGAATGACTGCAATTATTGTCAAAAAGGAGACACTCCCTCGTTCCTGTGCTCTGCTGCTCACGACACCCACAAAACGCTGTGACCCCAAAGGTGTGGGCTTCCACACCATGCAATTCTGACACCAGCTGCCTGGAGTTAGTGCTTACCCCGTGGATTAAGGGGCTCAGTCCCACAAGACTGCCCCCAACTCAGACGTCAATCACAAATCCGGGCTTCTAGTACTTCTGACCAACTGGCGATAGACTGGAGGTTTCCATGACCCCTTTCTTGGGCTCAATAATTCGCTAAAGTGGCTCACAGAACTCAGGAAAAGTTTATTTGCTGGATTATGGGTTTATTATAAAAGGATACAACTAAGGAACAGCCAGATGGAAGAGATGTATAGGGCAAGGTACGGGGTCAGGGGCAGGCGGGGAGCTTCCATGCTCTCTCTGGACATGCCAGCCTCCCAACACTCCAGGTATTCAGCAACCTGGAAGCTCTCTGACCTCCCTTCCGTTAGGATTTTTATGGTGGCTTCATTACTGGGTGTGATGGATTAAATTACTAGTCCTTGATGATAAAACTCAATCTCCCTGGAGGTCAGTGGGGTGGGGTGGCGGTGGGGAGTGTTGAGGCTGAAAGTTGCAACTTTCTAATCACGTGGTTGGTTCCCCTGACAACCAGCACCCCCATCCTTAGCGGCTTTCCAAGAGTCACCTCATTAACATAAACTCTGGTGGGGTTGAAAGGGGTTGTTATGAATAACAAAAGTTGCTCCTTTCACCTTTGTCACTCCAGAGCTGTTCCAGGAACCATGGACAGAAACCAAATATGTATTTCTTATTATATCCCAACATCACAGTTGTAAACTATTGAATAAATTAAAATCCATTCATGCATAGTATTTGAAAAAAGAAAGGGAAAAATGCATTTGCCACCATTAGAGTTGAATATATCAACTCTTTACTTAAAATTGATAATTAAAAGGAAAAAATTAACTCTTGTGTACTGTTGATGGGATTATAAAATTGTGCATCTACTATGGAAAACAGTACGGTGGTCCTCAAAAGATTAAAAATAGGACTACCACATTATCCATCAATCCCAGTTTGGGGTATATATGCAAAAGAATTGAGAGCAGGTTCTCGAAGATATATCTGCCACTCATATTCATAGCAGCATTATTCACAATATCCAAGAAGTGGAAGCAACCCAATGTTCATCCACAGATGAATGGATAAACAAAATGGAATATTATTCACCCTTAAAAAGGAAGGAAATTCTGACACATGCTACAACATAGACGAGCCTTGAGGACATTATGCTAAGTGAAATAAGCCAATCACAAAAAGACAAATACTGTATGATTCTGCTTATGTAAGGTATCTAAAGTATTCAAGGGGCCGGCCCTGTGGCCGAGTGGTTAAGTTCCAGCACTCTGCTTTGGTGGCCCAGGGTTTCACCGGTTCGGATCCTGAGCGCAGGACATGGCACCGTTCATCAAGCCATGTGGAGGTGGCGTCCCACATAGCACAACTAGAAGGACCCACAACTAAAAAATATAAAACTATGTACTGGGGGGACTTGGGGAGAAGAAGGAAAAATAAAATCTTAAAAATAAATAAAGTAGTCAAATTCATAGAGACAAAAAATGGAATGGTAATTAACCAGGAGCTGGGGGGAGGGAGAAATGGGGAGCTGTTCAATAGGTATAGAGTTTCAGTTTGCAAGACGAAAAAATTCTGAAGATCTGTTGCCTGACAGTGTGAATATACTTAACACTATTGAACTGCGCACTTACAAATGACTGAGATGGTAATTTTTATGTTATATGCTTTTACCGCAATTTTTAAAAAAATCTTTTTGGTTGCTTTGTAATAATGCTAGTAATTTTAAAGTTTCTATAACTCAAAAAGAAAAGAAACACTTGTATTTTGGGAGGCACAGAGTTCATCTCCTGCTGATGAAGGGAACCTCTATTTTTTTATTAGAAGGATACTTTCTATTAAATATAGAAATGGAAAATCACCATTCTTCAACTCCAGAAGAATAAATGTTTCAGGCAAGGACCAACAATGGGTGGTAAAACTTCAGTGAAAGCTTGTTTGGGAAACGGGCAGGGTAACAAAGCATTATCCTCCCCTCTAGATTACTTCTTAATCACAAAGTGGAAAACCTATTTTTACAATAGACGTGGTGGTCACTTCCTTAATCATCACTAATAGCAAAACAGCCAACATCAGGTGCCACCAATAAAATACACTGCACCACTGATGACCTTTCCAAAAATGCTCAATCTGAATCTAACCAGACTTTTAGACCTAACTTTCAGTTTACAAGAAGCCAAAAAAACAAGTCCAATGGCACAATGAAGAAGCACTCAAACAAGTCTAGACACTGGGACATCCTGCAGGTCAACTGGCCTGTCTCTTTAAAAGGTCACTGTGGGGGTGGGAGAATTGTTTCAGAGTAAGAAAGAGGTAAAACAATCAAATGCAATAGGTGACAGGGACTGGACTCGAATTCAAAAGGAAATAATTACAACAGACATTTTTGGGACAACTAAGAGATGTTAATATGAACTGAATCATACAAATTGGGATATTCGTGTTCCTCTTTTAGGTGCATAAAGTTATTGCGGGTATGTGGGGACCGTTCTTGGGAGACGCATGCCCGGAGTATTGAGGGATGAAATGTCATGATATCTTCAACTTAAATTCAAATAAAAAGATATATAAATACACAACAAATATATAAATAAAGCTAACATGGCAAAGTGTACACTTGGGGGTTTAGGTGGTAAAAATACAGTAATCTTGGGGCTGGCCCCGTGGCCGAGTGGTTAAGTTCGTGCTCTCCGCTGCAGGCGGCCCAGTGTTTCGTTGGTTCGA